TAAGAAAGTCCCTTTGAAAATTTGTATATTTAAACTTCGAGATTCATATCATGTGTTAAAAGTACAATTTTAGTTTACATAAAGGGTGGTTACGTTGGGGGTGAAAGTTGGAGTCCAGAAAATTTTAATTGGTGATCTGTAAAATTTTGTGCCAAATTCTATGAAAATTTATTTTTAAAATTTTTGGCGCATAACATAGATTTATCTAATCTATTATGCGCATAATGCACACGGCACATCTCTAGGTGGAAGAGGTGGAAGAAATTGGTGTGGTAGAAGTTGATAATGTTGGTAACAATTATGGAGATGACAATAATATTGATGGCAATGATGATATTAGTGAATTAGAAAGTCTTAATATTGAAAAAAATTTTATTACTTCTTGGAACAATGGAAGAATTGACTATTCTCTTAAACCACATATTTCAAAAGAAAATAAATTGCATCGAATTACAAAAGAATGGAATCTCAAGAAAAAATAATGCCATATCATTAAAATGGAAATCAATGAAGCGACATATAAAAAAATTAATTGATGTAGATTATTAAAAATTTGAATAATTTAACTTTTTTTCTGATAATTCATTGGGAACTTTAGAGAGTAATTGCAAACCTTTTACAATAAAGTTACGTAGGTATGAAGATGAAAAGGGTGAAAAATTAGATGATTTATTAAAAAAATATCAAGATCAAGGATTTTAAAATTATCATTATTAATTTCATTTCAAAATTTATTATCATTTTTATAATATTACAAAAATAAACATTTATTACCATATTACCATATTATTATTATTACACAGCGAATCTCAATTTAGAGGACAAGTTTGGCCCAAGAAATTTATCCGCTAAATCGAAATATCCGTAAAAATGAGAAATTTGGAATTAGCGGGTTTTATAATAAAAATCATGTGACATCAGTTAAATTTAAAAAATAGTGTAATAATTAACAAACAACTTTTACAATATATAAATATGAATTTATTTTATTCTAGCATATAGTATTCTTCGATCCTTGTTTGTATTCTTTTGCAAGAAGTTTTCTTCTTTAATTTATTGACGAATCAATTTCCAAATTTTTTTGTTGTACATATTTGAGTGCAGTTTCCAAACCTTTTTATAGCTTCTGTGCTTGGGTTTTTTTTTTAAATTGACAAAAATTTTTTTTTTTTGATTATAGACAAGGGTGGATATTTTTTATTTTCACGAATCATTATACAAGCCATAAATTTTAATTTTACAAATCATAAGTTTTATTTTACATTTAATTATTTTTAATTATAATAATAAGCTATTGTTTCTATTTTTTTCAAAAATATTGACACTTAAAATCAATTTTTTTATTTATTTTATTATCATAATATACATTATTTTTTTTTAAATTTTCAAAACAGTAATGGTCAACATCCATTATATCGAAATAAATTTGTTAATGAACAACATGAAAAGGCTTAAAAAAATATCCGGTTACTGAATATATTAATATTAATATTAATAAAAAATTCTGTTCTGAAATTTTATCCATTAAACCCTTAAGGGTAGAGTGTAGTCATGTGATTTTTCATAACAACTGAAAGGATAAATTTTTTACTGTGACAATCATTTTTAATTCTAAAACGATCAAGTTTTTAATAAATAATTCCATCCTTTTGATTTGTAGGTAACACAAAATTTATTATGATACAGTAAATAATTTTTGACTGCGAATCATTAAAAATATTAGTGTGTTGTTGTATGTGAAATATTATGGAGTGGAGTGAAATTCTGATTGGCTAATTTGAATTTCACGTATGTGAATTGCGAATTCACATAATTTCATTTTCATGTACAACATAGTTATGCATGATAACATTATTATTATATACATAACAGTAATATATAGAAAAAATCATTTTTATTTTATTTGTAAAAGAATGACTGATAATTAATATTAAATATTTAATAT